GCTCGGGACTGTTGAACCTGCCAACGTGCGTACCAGTTCTTCACTTGGACCTATTGCTATGTGAGGAAAAAGTCATCCCACTGACTAAGCAGGTATAACAGTTTTGTTACAGCAGGTGAAAGCAGCCCTAACTGCTGACTGTACCTCACCCTTACAGGTGGCAGCTGGGCTCTGACACTTACCTGCTGTGTAGCCTTAGGACAGCACTTAAACCCTCGAAGCCTCAGTTTCCCCATTTCTAAAATGGAGACAGTAACATCTTTCCCCATGGGTGGGTCCTGAGGGAACCCCAAGGACTCTATAAGTCAGTGGTTCTCAATCTTCCTAATGCCGCAACCCTTTAATACAGTTTCTCATGTTGTGGTGACCCCCAATTTCATTGTTACAAATTGAACATAATTAAAGCATAGTGATTAATCACAAAAACAATATGTAATTATATATGTGTTTTTCGATGGTCTTAGGCGACCCCCGTGAAAGGGTCGTTCGACTCCCAAAGGGGTCGCGACCCACAGGTTGAGAACCACTGCTATAAATCCTGTATGGGTCTGGAATCACTGCTGTTGTTGGTAGCCAATGGGTTCTGGCCCTCTTGGGGACGGGGAGCGATGTGGTTTGACATGGTAAGTAAGTAAGGAAAGAGTGTTTAGAGGGGCAGGGAGTTAACTCTCAGGGGTAATAAACAGGCCAAGAGGTGAAAAATCTCCCAAGAACAGATACACCCAGTCCAGCCACCAGGAGGTAGCACCCAAGGGTGTGAACTTGCCGAGGTCAGGTGCTCTTGCTGAATCAGGAAACCAGGGCATGGGTGTGGCTGGGCCCAGTGTGCAGGGGTGAAGTTTCAGTGGTTGCAGCTGGTGAGGAGTAAGGGCCTGTGGCTGCAGGTAGATCCTCAGGAATATGAGGATGATGCAAGTGATGTGTGTGTGTGTGTGTGTGTGTGTGTGCGTGCACGTACACATGTGCACACACCATGCCAGGCCTTGGGCAGTGGTAGGCCAGGGAGTAATCCTTTAAAAATGTAAGTCTAATTTTTCAATTCTCTGTTTTAAAAACCCTCTACTGCTCCTAGGCATATACCCAAGAGGGACTGGGGAGTGACAGCTAAGGGGAGTAGTGTTTCTTTTTGGAGTAATGAGAATTTTCCAAAATTGTTTGTGGTGATGGCTACAAAATTCCATGAATATACAAGCCATGGAACTGCACACTTTAAATGGATGAATTGTATGGTATTTGAATTATGTCTCAATAAAGTTGTAAAAATATATAATTTATTAGTTTCTTACTGCCAGCAGGATAAAGGCTTCTCCAGAACTGCCTTCTGTTGGCCACTCTGGTCTGACCAGCACCTGCTGCCCAGGTGCATCTGTACCTCCAGCCACAGGGAATATTTGTATTCTCCTGGCTGCATCACGTGGCCTCATGCCTCTGGGTCATGGTGCCTGTTAGAAGCCTAGCTCTGGTTCTGTAAACTGAGGCTCCCCTAGCATTTCTTTGGGAGAGCCTTCCTTGATGCTGATTACTCCCATGCCATTCATTCATTTAGCTGTTGTCTCCCCTGCTAGACTACAGGCAACTCAAAGGCAGGAACCATGCTCTGTTTGACATTGTGTCTCTAGCCAATGGCTTTCTACAGGTTGTGGGGAGTGTGTGGGGACTGTCTGGGCAGGGAGCAGGGAGCAGGGAGGAGTTTTCATCCTGGCTATTTCAGATTGCCTTCACAAGGTGATGATAAAAAGCAGACTGACTGCTTCATCATCATGTTTGTTTTCTACAGACAATGTGCCCCGTTGTTGCTTTGTATCAAGGCAACCACTCCTATCCTCCCTGCCTTGGTAAATGTTAAATGTAGTGCCTGGCACATAGTAGGTAGTTTATAAATGAGGGTGGCTGGATCCAGAGGTCAGACAAAGGCTAGAAAGGGAGGATTACTCTAGAAAATCGCTAGAACAAGGGGGTACTCAACAGACCACACCAGAGGGAGGGGCTCAGGACCTGTTGTGGAGTCAGGGACTCAAGGAAGCTGGCAGACTCAATGGAGTATTTAACAAATCCAGAAAGAAGTCAGATGAGAAGATGTATGGTGACTATTGCTATAGCTATGTAGAGTTCTCCCCATGTGGCTTTCCTTCAGTGACTTTTTCTGTAGGTTTATCCCTATGTTTTCATTGGCCCTTCCCTCTGGGTGCAACTTCCCTGCAATCAGCTATAAGGTCCTGTTGACAAAGATTCTACATCAGGGCCTCCAAGAAAACCAATCAGCTTCATGTATTATAATCCTCAAACACTGAGCACCTACTGTGTTTATAGCACAAAACTAGATACTCTAAATGTGTTATCTCTTTCAATGTGTTAGTGACACCCATGAGTATGTCCAATAAGGTAACATTCGGCTGGTCAGTGTGGCTCCAGTGGTTGAGCATTGACCTATGAACCAGTAGGTTATGGTTTAACTCCTAGTCAAGGCACATGCCTGGGTTGTGGGCTTAATTTCCTAGTAGGGGGTGTGCATGAGGCAGCCAATCAATCAATAATTCTCTCTCATCATTGATGTTTCTATCTTTCTCTCCCTCTCCCTTCCTCTCTGAAATCAATAAAAACATTTTAAAGATAGGGTAACATTAGCAGCTGTGACAAACAACCCTAACATCTAAGTGGGTTAACACAATAAAATTATTTTTCTTCATATCACAGTCCAATGAGGCTTGTATCTCTGTATGTATTTGTGTGTGTGTGTGTGTGTGTGTGTGTGTGTGTGTGTGTGTGTATGTATGTATGTTGGGCTAAAGAACTTTGCTCTTTGTAGTCTCTTAGGGAGCCAGGATCCATCACTTAGTGGCTCCACTTTCTATAGGCCCTCGGAGTCCTCTGCTGGGTTTTTGCATCCAGCTGGCTAAGGAGGAAGAGACAATGCATGGAAGGCTGTATGAAGGTCTCAGAGGCCAGGCCTGGAAGCAGCAGTGTTCCATCCTTCTCTCCAAGTCCCATTCACCAGAGCTCATTCATGGGGGCACTGCAGGCAATGCTGGGGGCTGTTCACTGTGTCTAAGAGAGGGAATGAACTGGATTTGGTGAACACATGGCATTGTGTCTGTCACAGATAGTTAGTATTGTTACTATTTCACAGATTGGCTAACATTAGCTATTTTACAGCCAAACTGAGCTTTTTCCCTGAGAGGAAGTTTGTCTGCTGCTCTAAAGTCCCCGAACCTTGCATGAATTCTGGAGAATTGAAGAAGCTAAATCTTGCAGTAGAGTGGTGAGTGATTCCTAAATACGTTCTCACTTCTCTGAGACGTTCTGGTTTTCCACTTTTGCTGGCAGCCCTTCCACTCTGGTTGGAAGTTGACAGCTGACATCCCTGGCTCCCAGCCCAGGCTGATGTTGCACAGTAAGATCTCTCTTGCCAGGTGGGCAGCCTCAGGTCCTGTGGGATGTTCCCTTCATATAGTTTCTTCAGTGGTATAAGAAAAGGCTAAGGATACAGAGATACAAAGGAAGTGGCATGGAGGAGGAGAAGCAGGAAGGACTCTGTTGAGCTGATAGTTCTTTCTCTTTAAGGAGAGATAATAGATGACTATCTGAAAGTAGGGGATTGTCTACTTGTGATGAACTGGTTACTTCAGATGGACATTTCCCCCCTTCCCTATGCCAAGCAGACTCAAGCCCAGGTGGGTCCTGGAGAGTTCTCCACCATCTCCATCTACTTCCCCCTATGAACCAGTAGGTTATGGTTTAACTCCTAGTCAAGGCACATGCCTGGGTTGTGGGCTTAATTTCCTAGTAGGGGGTGTGCATGAGGCAGCCAATCAATCAATAATTCTCTCTCATCATTGATGTTTCTATCTTTCTCTCCCTCTCCCTTCCTCTCTGAAATCAATAAAAACATTTTATGCTAGATTCTTTAGGGTATTCCATCTTCTTCTTCAGTCCTTTCACTAGGCAAAATAGCCCGTGAAATTTCATGTTGTCCCTCACCCAAACCCTCCACTCAGCGATACCTAATTAGCTATTTCTTTCTTTTTTTCTTTATTGTGTTTTGTTTCTTTTCCCCCAATGACCTAGTTGGTGATTATCATTGTGGCTATCTGAGAATGGATACAACTGAAGGAGAGATGTGTGAAGGACTTACCAGAGGGGGAGAAAAGGGCCTCAGAGAACAGAAATTATCAAAAACAAAGACTTGAGATACGGTTCAAACAGCCTCATCATTATTAATCTAGGAAGCTTAAAGAGGGTTGGCAACAAGAGAAGGGCGATAAAAAAAATCCTAATGATGAGCCTGCCAAGGATGTGAAGGTTATCCAGTCCTCTGAGAGCCAGAAGGATTGCAGGCCTTTCACTTCCTTTGTTCTTCATTGGGGCCAGAGAGAGTGTATTGTGTAGGCAACAGGCCCCGAGGGACAGGGAAAGGAGAGCAAGCAGCCTGCAGCAGATGACCTCTCCCTGTGGGTTGTTGGCTGGGTTTGAGAGGGCTCCATGGTGCTGGCAGTCTACTGGGCATGTCTAATCAAATATGAAAACTATTTCTTAAGGGTCTGGCCTCACATTGGCCAATCAGAATGGAAGTTGCCTACCATCCTGAATCCGGGAGCAGGCAGGCTCCTCTCGTGCCAAGCCTTGCCCACTCAGTAAAGTTGTTAAGATGTATGGGTAGAATAGGGGCTTTAGGTGAAGGATGGAGGCAGCTGAAGCAGTGGGTGGGAGAGGGACTTTGGGAGTGTGTTCTTTGTCAACTAGTACTTGGTATTTCAATCTTTAACAACTAGTCCAGCTGTCCTGATGTGTGCCCACTGTATTCCTGCCTTGGAAACATCACCCCTCTTCTGATTGGCACTGCTGAGATGATTGAGCCATGACATAGAACTGGAGCTCTTGGTGGAACCATTCTCTGGCTCTTTTGGAGAAAATTACTCAGGCATTGTAGATGACAACTACCAAGAGTGCAAGATTCAAGGACCACCAAGGCCATTGGCCTTGACTTACCTGACTCTCCTCAGTGTGCTTTTCCCTAGGATGCCTGCTCCTTCCCTCCACTCAGTCACTTTGGTCTCTTTCCCTATTGGGCTCTTGCTCTCAATTCCTCATGCAGGTCCCATGGATTTTAATCAAAGGCAAGAAAGAGGCAGCTCATGGGTTGTCATTAGGATGATGGGATGTGAAATGACCACTGTGTTGTTTTCATTTCTCCAAGACAGCAGCCTGGTGTTCTACATTGTCAGCTCATTAGAGGATGTCACTGAGAAATGCAAAATAGCCCAACTCCAGCACTATCAGCTCCTTCCAATTCCCTCAGCACAGAACATCAGAGCTGGGGCATGCTAATCTGATTTCATCACTTGGGCAGTGGAGTTTTTATTGAGCTCACTCAGAGGAGGCTGCAGGGCTAAAAAATTTGGGCAGGGGGAAGGGCAGACAGCAGGTGTATAATCATTTAAGGCTATTTTTAATCTGACATGCTTTAAACCCAAGATAGGTAGCTTCAATATACTAAACCATTTAAGAAAGGAGAAATCACTGAATATTGATTTCTTATAAGACTTTAGGCAAATGACATAGCTTCTGATTTTTCAATATAATTTAAAAAAATATTTTTTATAGATTTCAGAGAGGAAGGGAGAGGGGGAGAGAGGTAGAAACACTTAGAGAGAATCATTGATTGGCTGACTCTTGCATGCCCTCCATTGGGGATTGAGCCCTCAACCCAGGCATGTGTCCTGACCTGGAATCAAACTGTGACCTCCTGGTTCATGGGTCGACACTCAACCACTGAGACACACCAGCTGGGCTCAATATAAGTTAAACTACTCAAGTTTATAATAAAGAAAGCAACCCCTTTATTGAAGCAAAGTGGTTCAGAATTGCTTCACAATGCTTCTTACACTTTCCCCGAAAATACCCTGACACCCGAGGACCAGAACCCTAAAGGTAAGTTCAGAGAGGCCTGCAGGAAATTGAAACTTCTTCAAAGTCACAGATTCTAAAATTAAATGGTAAAGCTTGCATGCTACTCCATAACCTAGCTGTGTTTTAATGTAAAATTATATATCTGATTTGTAATATAAAAAAGATTCTCTCATCTCCCTAAGCCTTTGGTAGTGTCATACTGCTCGTGGCACACCCTGTGCCCTCCTGTGGTATCTGACTGCAGAAAATGCCAGCTTGCCCTTTTCATGCTGCTGCAGCCAAGGAAAGGGGGGCTGAGGGAGTCCTGGCTTGGAGAGACCAGAGGCTGGTAGGTGTAGACCAACTCTGGCATTTCTAGGCCTTCTTGGTCCCCAAGATCCAGTCTAGTTTGTCATTGCATCCTCATTATTGGGCTTTTGGGACAGTCTGTTCCACTCTCAGGTCTATTGACTAAAAGAGAATCTGGAGATGGGGGTGGATGTATGTTGCCAGTTTTCAAAATTGTCCTTGTGCTTTACGTTTGAGTTGGGATAAAGCCACTCTCTTGAGTCTAAGTTTTTTTATGTGCAAAACATAGCTCAGAAAATTCCATCCTTAGAGAGAAATATAATATTATAAGGGTTATTTATGCCTTAAAATGTAGGATCCAGATGGTGATCACTACATTCCACCGAAAGGAACCAAGTCTCCTTGGAGAAGTGGTTGGTTCTAGTCCAGAAGAGGAAATACACAAGATGACCCTAGTGGGTCTTGTCATCCGGAAATGTAAGCAAACTTTTAAAGGCACCAGGATGTGTCAAAAAGACCCAGGAACCAACCTGAATAAGCTCCTATTGTCCAAAGGGGGGAATCATTCAGACATCACTGCCATAGTTGGATCACTTCCAATCTCTATTATAAAAACCCCGTGGCTGTAACACCGTCACGCTGGAACAACCAATCACCAAAAGGCACATGCTGAACGTCATATGATTCCTTCATGGGAACAACTAAGTGTTGCGTATGATTTCTTCGTGGGAACAAGTAAGTGTTGCTCTGTTCAAATCTCATCTTCCATCGAAGGTCAATTTAAGTGCTCCTGAGAAGGCAGGGTTAGGGCAGGAAACTTCTTATCTCTGTCCACAACTGTCTTCAAGATGGGTGGGGCTGCATGTGCAGCGAGGCACATGCTGGTGGGAGGGGACTTGACGTTGGGTCCCTCCACGCTCGGGGTCTGGGTCTCGCGTGATTTCACACAGTGGGCCTCTAGTATCTTAATAACCTTGAGTTAGTTCATAAAGGATTCATGTGAGAAGAAATCTTACTGATTGCCATTATAAGAGTCTCAGAAACTACCTCATTACTTTGAAAACTGATAAATGAAAGAAGTATTTACTTGTTTCAACTCTATGAATTGTGCCTCAGAAAAGCCCAAAAGTTAATTAGGAAGTTTTTCTTTATACAAGTAGTTCAGCTAATAAATAAAAAAAAGTGAACAATGGGATTAGAACACAACATTTTATAACCCCAAATGAATATATAGATCCAGGCCAGGGCTTCTCAAATTTGCATTATTGTCATTTGGGCCAGATAATTTTCTTGTGCATTGCAGCAGCATCCCTGGTGTGTATCTACTAGATTCCAGTAGCACCCCTTCCCCAGCTGTGACAACCAAAAATGTCTCCAGACATTGCCAATGTTCCCTGAAAGGCGAAATCACCTTGGTTGAAAACCAATGCTCCAGACCAGTGATTCTTAATCTTTCTCATCTCATGGCACACATAAACTACTTACTAAAATTCTGTGGCACACCAAAAATATATATTTTTGCCAATCTGACAAAAAATGAGTATAATTTTGATTCATTTTCACCAGACAGCTATTATTGTGTTAGCTGTTGTCATTTTTTTAAAAAAAAATTGACAATTTTAGAGAAAGAGATCAGTGCCCCTATTAAATAGTCAGGCATTGCATGTTTTAAAAATTCTTGCGGCACACTAGTTAAAAATCACTGCTCTAGGCAATAATCATTAATAGCTGATAACAAAGCATCATAAAAAGAGGGACAACTGGACTTTATATATCTCTACTGATGAAAGTACACACTACCTTCCACCTTTGAAATTCTTACCAGAACAAAACAAAAACAAAAAACTGATTTGAATGAAGCCTCTATAGCTAACTTCCTCAGAAATATGAGACATATCTACACTCACACCCACCCCCCACCCCCCACCCACCCACTCTCTCTCTCTCTCTCTCTCTCACACACACACACACACACACACACACACACACACACATGCTAGCAATCACAGCATTGCAATCAGTAAAATCCAGACTGTGTCAAATGTTAAGAACAAATGATATGGTTAGTTCAACAAATTGCAAGGAATAAGCAATGATAGAGGGGAAACCTATACATCCAAAGAGTATTATAATAAAGGGCATATCCACCAATTGCATTGTCTGGACCTTACTTGGATTCCAATTTAAAGAAACTGTTAAAAAAATTTTTTAAGTTTCATGAGGAAATTTAATGGTATTGAGGAATTTCCACTTTTTAAGTGTGATACTGTTATTATGGATATGTTTTTAAAAAGTTCTTACCCTTTAGAAGTATGTATTGAATATATATATATGCATAATATATGCATAATATGCAAATCGACTGGACGGCAGAACAACCTGTCGCTATGGTGTGCTCTGACCACCAGGAGGCAGACTCTCAACGCAGGAGATGCTCCCAGCCAGCTGGCTCTGATGGCCCAATGGGGAATGGGGAACCAGGGGTGGGTGGCAGTGGACATAAGCAGCTCCAGGCCAAGATGGGTGCAAGTGAGCGGGACCCAGATCACCCCACTGGTCACCCCACGTAGAGGGCGACCAGCATCAGCGGCAGGGGGTGGGGCTGATTGCTGGCAGCCAGGGAAAATTGGCCCTAATCACAGGCCAGGCCTAGGAACCCTACCCATGCCCAAATTTCATGCATCGGGCCTCTAGTTATAAATAAAATAATATGTTTGGGATTTGGTTTAAAATAACCCAGAAAGGGGGCACATAGGTGAAATAAGATTGGCCATGTATTTATAATTGTTGGAGGTGGATGGTGGGTACATGAAATTCATTGTGCTATTATATACTTTACATGTTTGACTATTTTCATAATAAAAGTTTTTTTAAAAGGTGTGGGCTTGCAGAAAAAGTCCCGATATTGAGAGAAGATTGCACTTAGTCCATTTTATCAGCTTTGCTCCTCAGGGTCTGATTGGACTGCACTGTAGACAGCAATGGGAGGTCCATTTTCTGTCCAGAAGCCCGTGCCTGCACATGGGTGCTCAGAGTGAGTGGCAATGAAGAGAAGGGTCAGCCCCTGTCCTCATGTTAATTAACTATTAATCGTTCTCCATAATGGAGTAATTGATTCATGGTTCTCATAAATTTATTGGCCCCAGTTAATGAAGAGACTAATGCAGTACCTTTTGGTATATGTCATTCCTTTGGGAACTTGAATGTCCTTTTTTGGCAAATTGCAGAGCTTGGCTGTTACAAGGAATGACAGCTGCTCACGTTTTGGGCTTTAGAAAATGGGTGTGTCCTGCAGGGAAGGCAGAGAGAGTGGAGAAACCTGGGATTCCAGGTTGAAAGGGGAACATGTCCAGGTGAATGAATAATGCATAGGCACTTCTGGCTGCGCACAGGCAGGGGAGTGCTGTTGTCTCTGTCAGGGTAATGGTTTTAAAAGTTAACCTACGTCTGGTCCCTTCCCTCCCCCAGTCCATCATTCTCCTTTTGTCAGCCCCTCCCTCCTCAAAAGCCCCGACATCTTGTGCTTGTTGCCTCAGGGGAAGGATGTGGTAGGATGGAGAGCAAATGGCCTGGGTGCTTTTGCTGTCTTTCACAGGCTTCAAAGGACTACACCCTTAGGGAGAAATGTCAAATGAGGTTGGCTCCCTACACTCATCATTACCCCCAAATCTAGGTAAGGTTTTCCCAGGGGTTAAGAAAGGAGTAAAAGCAGTGGATAAGTGATGATCATATGGAGAGAGGCACCCTGCATCCTATTTCAGGGGCTGACTGCAGAGTGACACCAGGCTTGCGGCCTCAGCAAGCACAGCAGAGACTTCCATGGTCCTGTGTGGCACAGGCCAGACCAGGATGATCCCATGCCCCTTACTCGTCTGTGCAGAGACTATAAAGAAGAACCAGTGGAAGTGCCTGGTGGACAGTGCTGAAGGCTGTCTCAGTGGACCTGTGGGCCCATGGCTGCCTTAGCACACACCTGCACAGGCTGACAGCATCCAGGCCTGGAGGCCAGCCTTTCTCACAAGATCCCAGCTTCATATAACCGCTCCAGCCAGGGAAAGGGTCTCCAGAGTTGACTGAGACAAAATTTCTGCCCCTCAGGAAGGATGGGGATGCAGCAGGCCTTCTGGGCGGAGGTTCATGCCCACCACAGCAAAAACACCAGATTAAGGTCACAACAATAGACAAGTTACACATGATTATCTTTCTTTTTTTTTCCTTTCTTACTTTTTTCTCATCAACAGCACAAGAATTGCTTCCCCTTTTGTTGCACATTATGCTTTTGTGTGCACATGCAAGTGTTTCAAGGGTCTATGTGCACAATTACAAATACTATATTAAAACTGAGATTTTTGTTTTTATTATAAGTAGCCTTTCTACATAAATACTTTTGCCCATCGCTCTATCTCTCTGAAGTTGTGAAATACAGGGTGTCCCCAAAAATGTATATACACTTTAACAACTGATTGCTGAATTTTGAAAATAAAATATAGTTTAATAAACACTGCCTTTATAATTATTCAGAGTGTGAGTATACATTTTTGGGGGACACCCTATATTTTTGGAAGAGCTGTTTATCTTTGTTGTTTTCCACTTACATTTCTCATTATCTCTTCAGTACACTGACATTGGTCCCCATTGCTCTATAGTAATGGACAGGCATTGACCTCCAAGGTACAAAATCCAGTTCTGGTATTCGTTTCCAAAATGCCTTCTCTCTTGACCTCAGTGACCTTGGGCTCACTTTACTTTTCTTTATTTTTCTTACACTTCATTGCTCCTCTTTCAACATCTCCTTTGTTTTCTTCTCTTTCCTCGTATTCTCTTTACTTGAGCACAACCCAACCTTCTGTCATCAAACCTCCTACTCTTCCTCCAAAAGTGTCCCCTCTCCCCTATGGGCAAATAACTGTTAGGTACTCCATGCCTTCCATTAGCTGAGGACTTGTCCATTGCTCATTCTGAAAGCTACTCTGACCCAGTGTGCCCAAGGAAACCAGACTCCTGTGGTTCACTCTGGAAGGCAATGCTGAATTCCAGGAAGCTGTTGACCTCCAGAGGAACTTAAGAATAACTCAAATCCCATATTCACATTTTCTTTTTTTAAGCTTTATATTTATTGTTGACACTATTACAGATGTCTCCACTTCCCCTCACCTTTGTCCAACTTCACCCAGTCCCTGCTGCCCCTCTTCCCTTTGGCCATCACCACACTGGTTTCTGTGTCTGTGGGTTATGCATATACATTCTTTGGCTAACCCCTTCACCTTTTTTTATTCAGTCCCATCCCCTTCCATTCTAACAGCTGTCAGTCTGTTCCATGTATCCATGCTATATTCACATTTTCAAAGACCATCAAAAAAGGAATCCAAGCATGGAGTTTATAGCCACTGGTTCTCCAATTTGATTCTCTATTCCAACCTCCTTTCAAATTATTCACTCTTACTCTCCAAATCCTAGAAAACTCTCTTATTCTTCCCCTCCATTTCTTACTCTGATTACTTCCTTCTTGTAATTGCAGGCTCCTTACCAACCTGCACCCCCAGCTGTTCTCAGTGAGGCTGAACTGATAATAGAAATTTCCTCATGCTGTGGGAGCAGCACCCTGAGAAATGGAGTAGACAGGAACAGAGGAGTTAGAACAGTTAACAAGCTCTGCTTTCCAGTACACACAATCTCCTTTACCACACACATTTGTTTTTTCTCCTATTGCTCGTCTCTGTTTCTCCAATGACACAATGCCCAAGTTAGAAACTGCTGTAGACTAAGTATTTGTGCCCCCCACCCCACCCCAATTGTTATGTTGAAACCAAATCCCAATGTGATGAATTTGGGAGGTGATTAGGTCATGAGGGCAGATTCCTCATGATGAGATTAGTGCCTTTTTGAAAGAGGCCCATAAAGTCTCCTCCCCCATTCTGCCATGTGAGGTTACAGTGAGAAGAACGAAATCTATGAACCAAGAAGAGGGCTCTCAACAGAAACCTAACCTTAGTTGGGTTATTTCTGAATCTATGAGCTGATATTCCTGACACTCATCTCTCTGACTCCCAATCTACCATTGACATGCTGCTGCTGAGAAGCAGGTCTGGTGACCTCACTCTATTGCTTGACAATTGTTCATGGCCCCCCTTTGTGTGCATATAGTTCAAATTATTTCTCTGGCATTCACAGCCTCTATATTATTCTTCCTTTATCATCACTCTCCTCAACGACCCTGCAAAGTCTGGCTATCTCACCTCATCTTATTCACTGTCCCTCACTTTTTCCTTGACTTTCACACTTAGATTTTTGCTCACAATATTCTATTTCTTGGAACACCTTCCTGACTCCTCTAGTCGAGCAACTTCTGCCAACCCTCCAGGTTCAACCTCACTGCTACCTTCTGCATGAAACTTCCAGCTTACTGTTCCTCAGCCCACTGTACATGTTCTCCACTTGGTGCTCATAGGAAGTGGTCCATCTCTTTATGATGTCACTTGTCACACTCTGTGTGCCCTTTTTACTACATTGTAAGCTCAAGGGCAGGGGCATTATTCGTTTGGAAATCTTCAATATCTAACCCACAGAAGTTGCTGCATCAATGATGCCTTATCCACATTAAAAAAATTAGTGTTTGCTCATGTTCACTGTGTCTCTTCATCTTGTTATTGTGTAAAGCCTAAAGGAGCCTCTGCTTTCTGCCTATAAGGACTGACGGTGAAAGAATTTCACTCTAAATCTAGGTATCTGGCCCAGCAGCTAGGCTATTTGAATGAGACAGTGAAGCAATTTATTGGTATAAAGAGATCCAGTTGAGTCAAAGCTTCTGAGGAACAGATATTTACTCAGTTGTAAACAAACATGCTGTGTGTAAAAACAGAGATTTACAAAGCAGATGTATTAGTGTATTGTTATCCACTTCGTAAAATAAATCACCTTTGCATCTGCTCCTCTTCCTATTAAGTACATTATCCTCCTAGCACAAAGGAAACAGTCAAACCCTGAAATTCTATATTTTTAAAGAAATTAGGTCATTCAACATTTTTCTAAAATCTCTCTAATTTGAGTACTTTTTTTTTCATCTTCCTTGCCAATACTCTGCTCAGGCCATTTTCATCTCATTTCTAGATTATTGTAATGACACTGGCTAACTTTATGCCTCAGCTTAGATAGCACACACCTTAGGTAGCCCTATCTTTCAAAGCTTTTCTCCCCAAGATTGGGTTAGGTGACTTGCCCATATGTTCCTCTGCATTGTACTTTAAATGTCTTAACTTTTCTGTACCCCCCATCAGATTTTAGTTATCTCTAGTTCCTCCACATATTAAGTACTCAATAAATTGTTATTGCAAAGAAATTACAAACAAATGCATCCAAATATTTTGAACACATATCTTTTTTGCATCAGATCTACTAATTGGAGCAAGACACATTTTTATGTTGGTATAAAAAAAACAGGATACTTAGTGAATTGAATTTAGTTGGATTAGAAACTTTATCTTTTATTTTCATCTTTGCCTTGGACTTTTCAATACAAATTAGGATTTGTCTGATTTAACATGTATTGAGGCATGGGCTAGGCACTTGCACATACTTTGCCTTTCTCACAAATTTTCATCAGTTAATTGGAGATAGTAAATAGATCTGCTAGCATATAGTTCTGTAAAGAATGGATTTTCATCTTGAAAGAATGTGTGTGTTTCTGTAAGCACCAGAGTTTCTACTAGAAAGATATTTGTTCCCTGGGAAGACAAAGCCAGGTGTTGAAAATGGTTTTGAAGTCTCCTAATTAATACGCATCTATCCACCCATCTATTCATAATATAAAAAGCTTTCAAAAGAAACCCTGAAATTTCATATTTTAAAGAAATTATGTCATTTGACATTTTTTATACCTTACTAGAGGTAAGGCATAAACATTCATTCATGGGAGAGGGGTCCCTCAGCCCAGCCTGCCCCCTCTCACAGTCTGGGAGCCCTCAGGGGAGGGAGGCGACCTGGTGATCAGGGGAAGGCAATGCCCCCATTACACCTCTGCTGCTGCCACTGCTGGCAGTGCAAGCCTCGGCTGGCCCTGGTTACCTGAGCCTTGGGCGGCCCTGGGTGGCTGGGAAGCCGCCATATGAGGCTTGCCTGCACCTCGGGCCAGCCCTGGGTGGCGGGGGT